AGGGAAATAATCCATTTGATCAAATATGAAATGCTTGAAATTGCAATACTTTAAAAAAAAATCCATAGTATTTATCAAATCTCATTCCTTTTTTTGCCCACTCATACACACTTTTTTCTTGTGTCAAGCTCAGTAAGGGAGAATACAAATCTCAAGGTCAGTGTGCTTTGTTATCTTAGTGTGATCCTAGCAAACAACTCCCTACCTCGTAGGACCCACAAGCCATTGATTAGCAAGTATTCCACAACTTACTTATTGATCAATGGTACTCTTCTACACTGATAAGAATCAAATTATTGGGCTTGGTCTAATATAATCTATGTATTTCACCCTTAAGAACTGAGTTTTCCATGACAAAGATTAAATGTCAATGAAAATACACCATCCTTCATTAGGCAAGTGTAAGGAAAAAGGAAATATTATGTTTACCATTCCATTAAAGTATTGCCCACACCCTTTATCTTGCATTTGATCAGTCTCTTTTAATTGTGTGAAGCATTAGCAACCAGTACCCAAAATTATTATCTCATGACTACACTCAATTCAGTCATAAGATGAGGAGGCATAACTGCAGTTCTGAAACGTACCTACTAGCATGCATGAATAAATGAAAGTACAGACAGACAATATGGAAATATGGCATATTCTTTATGTAAATAACATTTTGATCTTTAATTTCATACTGAATTACTTAGCATTAGGTGAACAAGTGGGGGGGGGGAAAAATCAGGCCGATTTTGAGAAGGACTCTCAGACAATATCCCTGCTTTCTAACAGTGGCTTGTCACTTTAAATGCCAGACAAATCAAGATCCACCCTAAAGGTGGAAAAAAATAAATACAGAATCCTACATTCATCTGATTTCTGCATCACTAGACTCCTCCCTAAAGAACAGATTTCATTGTTACTGCAATTACTATTCCCTCCACAGGGCAAAAAACACAAGCAGAAGAGGGAATGCTAGGAAAGGGTATCTAGCTGTTTCACAGCTTCTGCCTTACTCCACCCAGTTTCTCCTTCGCTCAAAGGCTGTACTCGCCCTCCACAAACACAATCCAACCGAACAAGAGCAACAAAAACATTCCTGACGAACTAGCTTTCTGATGAAAAAGCCATGGTTAAAAATGTTTTCTTTGTTCAGCATCTCAATTACTGAAAGAATATTCTGAACCACTTCGAATATAACTGGGTATCTTCTCTGACAATTTAATTATGTACAATCATTTAGTAATAAATCTGAAAATGGAAATCAGTCCCACTTTTCACACACATTACTGGGCACGCGCACACACACACACACACACACACACAATGACTAGTACAACCTACAAATGTATCTCTACAAGGAGATGCCATTCCACACGTTAAAGAATTTCTGAAGGATGTGTATGCAAACAGGTTAGTATAGCAAGAAAACTGCTGTTTGGGCAATTAAGATTGGGAAAAGGGGGGATCTTTAAAAAATTTATACTGATAGATTTTAGCGACCAGTTAGAAAATTAATTGCCAAATAATTTGAACTGCAACAGTCAAATCCTACTGCAGCATTAGCAAGACAGATTTTTGCTATCAAGGCAGGGCAAAGCAAACCAAGTGCAATAGTGCTAATATATACATATTTTTAAAAAGCTACAGGCCACATCAAGTCTTCCCCAGAGGTCAGGAATGAAAGACACCACAGAACTACGTAATATTTAAAAAAAGCTCCTTTTTGAAGAAGTTCCAAGGAAAAGAGCCCTTTACCAATATTATCTCCCCTTCTCCTTATGCAACCAAAGCAGGACTGTTGTTGTTTTTAAAAGAACCACTGAACCTTTAAGATAGTAGCAATAAAACACTAGCCCCAAATGTGCGGAATCTCATCTCCCTATTCTTTATCTTCCACTACATCCTCCTCCCATTTTTGCTGCAGCTCAATCTGAAGCTTTGAGCCACCTCCTATCAATGATTTTTCTCTTACTCAGTCACTGCAGGGAGAGGGTGGGAAAGGGGGCCTCTTGTTGGAAGACCAGATTAGAGCTGTCAGGCTGCTCTGTATTTTGAAATCTTCAGGCCCTTTATTACAGCACAGCAACACATTAACCTTTAGCTCTTCTATTTATTTGCTTAAACAGTTATACCACCTTGCAGTCTCCTCCCATTTTTAAGAAAGGAAGAAGTTAACAAACAAAAACAGAAGGATGGGTGAAAAATGAACACAGGGTACACCCTTTCTTAACCTGACCACCCTTCTTTATTTGGCTTGTTAACAGTCATCTTATTTTAAGCTACTCAACCCTTGGTTTATTGCTAAGTCACTGTGAGAAAAACCCTACTAGGAAATGCAGATGGCCAAGTTAAGAGAGGTGATGGTAAACACAGAGAAGACCCCTTAAAAACATGGAGCTAGGTACAGTACTGCAGCACCCTGGGTCTATGGGCTGGGAAACAAAGCTAATGGAAATACTGGGCTGAAAAAAATTAACAGACTATGTGGAGGAGGAAAATAGGAAGGCAAGACTAAATTATAGGCTGGCAAAGTATGGAGCTGGAGCATTGGGAGTGGAAGATGCAGGAAAAACGGGCTGAGTGACAACAAATACAGCCATGGTGGGTGTAGGTCCGATTATGTGGAGTTTACAGAAAGCTGGAGCAACACATACAAATATGTCAAAAAAATAAGGGACTACTTGGCAAAGATTCCATATTAGTTTAAGGAAGCAGGGACTACCTGACTATTATAGCTGTCTCCGCTGATGCACTAAAAGTATGCTTACTATGCTAGGAGTTAAAACAGCAAAGCTGGGAAGCAAAAGGCCTAGAAGCAGGGCAGTGAAATATGATTTCACAGTGACAAAGCAGTTGCAAGATGAAAAATAAATAAATAAAAAGCACTGAGAACAGATGAAGCAGAAAGGCTGTAGGAATGGAAAACAGAGGATATTGGCAAATTAACTCCCCAAACATAAGGGAGCAGGGGAATTCTGAGAGTAAATAGTGGAGGATGGCCATCCCTTACTAATTAGGCAAAGAAAGAAGAGGTGTGTACAGAAGGGGAGGAGAAATGCAGTGAAATAGGATTATATGTGATACAACTGAGGGACTTGAGGAATGGAAAAGCAAACAAATCTCATGCAGTATATTTGGCTGAAGTGGAATTCTGGGTGAACACAAAACAAAGTCCAAGCTACATCATCAGAACATAAGATATAAAATCATCTCTCCCTCAAAGCTTGGAAATCCTTTAAAAGAAGATAATAGCTATTTGTTAAAAGGATTATATACTGATAAAGAATTTATATCTGAAAGTTATAGGTTATCTGTTACCTATAAGAAGCAAGATGATGAGAAAGGAGCTGCTGTATTCTGTTACAAAGAATAAGATGTATCCTCACATATAGATAAGAGTATTGTACAGTCTAAAGAAACGCAGAAATTGAGAGAGCCTTTGACACGCTATTAGAAAGAGAGGAAATAGTCAAAAAGGTATATAGGAGAGTGATAAGGGACATTGAAACCCCTGGAAGCGACAAGGGACATCTACAATCTCATTTAAAAAGTAACTTGTCTACCTCTTTTTTTAAAAAAAAGACAGATTAAAAAGAAAGAGAAAATAATCTTTATCCCATTACAGACTGAAAAGGAGCACTCTACTAGACACCTATGCATATGGGTCATGACACTCATCTACACTTTATTGAAAGGCTGATAGATGGAAGTAAGATATAACTCATCCTGTAGAGATGAGATCAGTGGTGGAGAGCCAGATGGAATAAAAAAAATGTGTAGGTTGCTTTGTGTAAAGTAATAGAGATGCATAGAAAGCTAAGGAAAAGAACTGTGTACGGTATGAAGGAATGAAGGAAAATAAAAGGTCTGCTCAATAAAGACTAGAGAAGGAAAAAATATGTATGGACAAGAACTGAAGGAAGAAGAAAACCTATATGGGGATGGCAAATAGGGAAGAGGAATCTGGAGGATGAAGGAATGGTGCATATAGGATGAATGAAAAGGGAAAGGTAAGTAAAAGGCTGGGAAAGGGGAAAATGCACAAAAACAACTGTGTGGAAGAAGTCTGGTTAGACAAAAAGGTGTGCCAGCACAAGAATGGGGGAACACCATCTTCACACAAAACCTTAATCCCTTTCCAGCTTCCTAACCAAGCCATGCTTTCCTGACTTGCAGAGTCACCCAGAGAAAAAGAGGCAGGCTGGGAAGTGGGCCAATAAGGCCAGAACAAACAGGAGGAGCAGGGAGGAGGTGGGGGAAACAGCCCATCAGAAACAGAAGAAATACAAAACCCCCATAAATGTAGAGCTCTGAATGAATGAAAGACAGGAACAAGGTGTGGATGCACCAGAGAGAGAAGAGAAGCCGGGTTTTGTTTTGTTTTTTTAGACCGAGCCAAGGAGGCTCCCCCGACCACTGGCCGAGGCTGATAGTAGTCCGAAGCATCCATCCTAGCCCAGCCAGCGGGAATGCGGGCAAGGACGCCGTCGGCAAATGACAGAAGGGGCAGAGAGAGAGAGAGAGAAAGAGAGAGAGAAAGGCGAACCAGCGAAAGAGGAGGGGAGCAGCCGCCCGAGCGCGCGCGCCCTCCAGTCGCGCCCCCCTCCCGACATCTCCCCCCCCCGCCCCGCCGCGAGCGAGCGAGCGAGCGAGCCGCTGACGGTACCTCCAGGTCGCTGCGATCCGGGGAGGATGGAGCGCAAGCGTGGAGCCGCCGGGTCAGAGGGGGCATCTGAGCTCCCCCCCCCACGCATGGCGGTGAAGAGCAAAAGGGGGGTGCCGAACAGAGCCCCCTCTCCTCCTCCCGCCCCTTCCTTCCCCCCACCCCAACGGGCGCGGCGGCCATTTTGAGAGCAAGCTGGAAAGCAGCGGGCGAGGGAGGAGCAGTCGCCGGCCGCCGGGGCCTACCGCCTCAGAGCCGGGGGAGAAGTGGACCCCGCCGCCCCGCCAGCTTCCTCCCCCAGCCCCCCAGCTCACAGCCGCCCCTGCCTCGGGCCTGAGGCCGGCCTTACCCGAGGAGCCGCTGCTGCTACCGCCGCCTGCGAGGCCGCTCCCATCCACCGGCGGGCTGCGTGTGTGGCGGAGTGGCGGTTTCGGCCCCTCCCGCGAGGTGAGGAGCAGCGGCGGCTTCGCCCGGCAGAGGAGGGGTCTTGGCCCCCTCCCCGCTCTCTTTTACCGGCTTGTATGGAGAAAGAAGATGGAGGAGGGGTGGAGCAAAGGCGGCAGCGGCGCTTCGTCGAAGGCGGTGGCAGTGGTGATGATAATGGTGGTGGTGCTGTCCTTCCTCGTCTTTCTCCTCCTCGCGGCGGCGATAATGCCTGGCTTTTCCGCCCCGGCCGTGTCAGTGGCGCCCCGGCCGCCAGGAAGGAAGGAGGGAGGGAGCCGGAGCGAGAAAGGCGAAGGAGGGAGCAGGCTCGGCCCGCTTCAAGCACTGCGCATGTGCGGCGAGGGGAGGGGACGGGAGGCTGGACACCATCTTGGGGAAGCTAAAGCGCCCCGCCTCCCGGCATGCCCTGCGACGGGGAAGGAGCCGGCGGCTTGTCGGACTCAACTCCCGGCAGCCCGCGCGGCCTGTTTATCTCAGGCGGTCGATCCAAGTGCTGCGTCTCGGTTGCCAACGGTTTTTCAACCGTCTAAATTAAAAGGAAAGAAATAATTATTTAACCCAGCTTCGTAACTCAACGCCAGCAGTAGGCGTTCATTACCCTTTTATTTTGGAAACCATGGTCTCCCCTCGTTTTGTATTCTCGAGATACGTCAGAATTTCAAATCCCAGAATTCCTAGCTAATGCGGCTTTGCAGACAGTTACAGGAGTCTAGTACAATCTGGAGGACAGCCGTCAGGTATTCCTTTACAGGTACAGGCCAGCTCTCTGGCTGTTCATGCGCTTTCTCTTATCTCCTTCAGTCTGTTCGATTTACAGAAAAACGGAAATAGCCAGTCCTGAATTAAAAGTGCACAGTGGCAATCCCTATGCTGTCTGGAAAGAAAATAGGTAGAAGTATTGGAACAGGACCAGAGAAGCCTTAAACTCCCTAATCAGCAATGAAAGGTTGTATCATAAAGACAAATTCCAGTTGCCTTTTGAAAAAGCATCTTTGGGACGAATATGGTCTGTGCATCATTTTAAACCAAGATTTGTTTAACTCTGGTTTTAAATCTTGGCTTAAAGCAATCCGTGATTTCTGGAAGTTGAAGTCCACAGATGGTGAAGTTTGAGGTTGAGAAACACTACAGTAATACAGTTTGCAAACTACAGTTGGGTTTTGCAGTAAAACTAGATAACTATAAACTAATATTCCCCATTTAAAGGACCATTAGTATTGGTACTACTATTAAGTAGCCATTATATTTTTATCTCCCATATGGATATTTGCTTACTAATACTACTACTATATTTAGAACAATAGGATATTTATTTATGAAAATGTATTGTTAATTGCGAAGTCGTGTCCAACCCATCGCGACCCCATGGACAACGTTCCTCCAGGTCTTCTGTCCTCTACCATCTTCTGGAGTCCATTTAAATTCACACCTACTGCTTCAGTGACTCCATCCAGCCATCTCATTCTCTGTCGTCCCCTTCTTCTATTGCCCTCAATCTTTCCCAGCATTAGGCCCTTCTCCAGTGAGTCCTTCCTTCTCATTAGGTGGCCAAAGTATTTGAGTTTCAACTTCAGGATCTGGCCTTCTAAAGAGCAGTCGGGGTTGATCTCTTCTAGGACTGACCGGTTTGAACGCCTTGCAGTCCAAGGGACTCGCAGGAGTCTTCTCCAGCATCATAGTTCAAAGGCCTCAATTCTTTGGCGCTCAGCCTTTCTTATGGTCCAACTTTCACAGCCATACATTGCAACTGGGAAAACCATGGCCTGGACTATACGCACTTTTGTTGGCAGGGTGATGTCTCTGCTTTTTAGAATGCTGTCTAGATTTGCCATAGCTTTCCTCCCCAGGAGCAAGCGTCTTTTAATTTCTTGGCTGCAGTCCCCATCTGAGGTGATCTCATGAAAATGTGTATGGCTGCCCAACTCACTCTCTGTGACTCTGGGCAGCTTGCAAAGATAAAAACCTAATAAAAAATAATAAGCAGTAAACCCCCTCCCCATGACAACAGTTAATCAAATAAGCAACAATGAGCTCCATCCCACTCTGGTTTCCCCAGGTCCGTTGGCAAAGCCAGGTCTTCAGGACGTTACAAAAGAATGTCAAAGGGGGAGTCAATCTTATTTTTTATATTCTACAACAGGGATGTCAAACTGCAGGCCCGCAGGCCAGATGCGTCATGCTGAAACTGCCCACCCCATTGCCGGCAATGAAAAAAAAAGTCGTGCTATGTCGCGACACGTGACAAGATGTTGCGAGTTTGACACCCCTATTCTACAAGGAGGAAACATCACAGAGAAGGCCCTTCTTCTTAGTCCCACTAGATGCATCTCCTTAGGAGAAAAGACCTGCAGCATTCCTTGCCTCCCTGCTCTGGTAGTTCAGTAAATGTAACCAGGAGAAGACAGCCCTTCAAATAACCTGGTCCCAAGCCATGTACGCCTTTAAAAGTGACAACCAGCATCTTAAACTAGACTCAGAAACAAATCAGTAGCCAGTACAGCTGCAGGAGAGAGAACTCATATGCACACCTAAGCCTGAAGAAAACTATGCAGACCGCTGCCTTTTATACTGCAAAATCAGGATTATGTTAGTCATTTTAATTTAATTTAATTAAAATTTTCTGGAGCATAAGCTCTCGGTGTACATACAAGTAATGGTAATCATGATCATATACAACATGAAATACATTCATTATAAATCATGAAATACAACACTTCATCATAAATTATAAGATGCAACACTTAGTGATAGAGTACTAGCTAAGCAAACAACATAAATCATACTAGGGTACAAAAAAAACACTATAAATTGTAAGATACAAGCAGAAAGTTATAGTCATAAGAAGATAAGGATAGGTATGTATCATAGTAATACAGCTTTACTAGTATTTCTGACAGTATTGTAGGAATTAGTTGTTAAGCAGAGTGACGGCATGGGGAAAAAACTGTCCTTCTGTCTAGTCGTTCTGGTGTGCAATGCCCTGTAGCATTGTCTTGAGGGAAGAAGTTGAAATGGTTTATGTCCAGGCTGTGAGGGGTCTGTAGATATTTTCACAGCCCTCCTTGCTTGTGTAGTATACAGGTTCTCAATGGAAGGAAGGCTGGTAGCAATTGTTTTTTCTGCAGTTCTAACTATTTGTTGAAGTCTGTGTCTGTCTTGTTTGGTTGCGGTTATAAACCAGACAGTTATAGAGTATTTTGTGTTTTTATGTGCATGTGTCCATGCGCACATGTGTAAGCAGACATAATTTAACAATCAATTTAGCAAGCATATATACAAATTATTCAAAAGGTCCTCAGGATGGTTGGATACTAAAATACATAATAATATTGACTCAATGTGTTAAAATTTATCACAAGTTTAGCTTAGCAAAATAATCTCTGGAAATCATCAAAGGGGCCTGCCAAAAATAGAATATGGCCCTACAGTGCTTAAAATCTAGCATGTGACACAAATGGTAACAGGAAAGTAGAAAGCAAGATTGAGATAAAATTGCTTCACAGTATACTATTTTTGTAGGCTATTTTAAAAATTACAAAAACAAGGCAAGCTTCTGCCAGATTATTTCAGTCTAATAGAGAGCACACTAAGAAAATTGGATAGGGAAGGTTAAAAAAAAAGAATGAAAGCTGATTATGAATCAGTAGCAAAATAGAAGCAGTGATAAAACTGTCTTTTCTGCTATCATTTAATATTCTATCTATACATCAACATGGAACAAAGCTTCACTCAACTTTTAAGCTTACAACAAAATGTATGTTACTCACTATTGTACTTCTCCACTCACCCAGTTTCAAAGCCACTGTAAAGATTTTGAAAATTGTTTTATATATATAACAATATGTGGGCCTTTGGCAAGGCATTAAAACTTGATTTTTGCCATCAAGTCTAGGGCCTGAAAGTGTGGATGAAATTGTATGTTTATGTTGATCGTGTAATGTTTGATTATTCATGACTGCTATTTTATGCTGTCTCGTTTTTGTTTTTAATCACTAGTTGTGTTTTCATTCTTATTTTGTTTTAATTGTTAGTCTGGCCAAGAAACAAGATTTGAGTTCCACCTTAGGCATGAAAGTTGGCTGAGTGACTTTGGGCCAGTCACTCTCTCTCAGCCCAACCCATTACACAGGATTGCTGTTGTGCGGAAAATAGGAGCAGGAAGGAGTATAGTGTGTGTTCGTTGCCTTATGTTACTTATAAAAATAATAAAAGTGGGATAGAAAAATCTAATAAAATAAATGTACATGAGATTGGCTGCCACATAAATTTATTACATAAATAAACTCACCAAATGACCCTAATATTTGTAGCTTTGTGATTGTGTCAAAATCTACAATTAGAAAGTGTTAGTTTATATTACTATGGAAAAATTCCACCACTGCAACCAGGAAGAAGGAAAAAGGAGATCTTATTTTGAACAAGGGCAGAGCCAAAGTGGACGGGAATCAATCAGTTTCTCTTTTTCTTTCACATCTTGCTCTTTCCATGCCCTCCCTCCATCTCTTTATTTACTTATAAATATGGCGGGGGGGGGGGGAGAGTTTGCCTCCAAGTCAATGTTGACTCCTGGCAACTGCGTGGACAAGGCCCTGCAGTTTTCTTGGCAAGATTTCAGAAAAGGGTTTGCCACTGCCTGCTTCCGGGTGCTAAGAGTGATTGACTGACCCAAGGTCACTCAGCTGGCTTTGTGTCCAAAGTGGAACTAGAACTCACAATCTCCCTGTTTCTAGTCTGCTGCCTTAACCACTAATCTTGCTTTCATATTTATTTAGCTAACTACATTTATAGCATGTCTTCCCTTCAGGAGCAAAACCCATCCGTTTATTTTTATTTTGGGGTTATTCATTTTTGATGAATTCTCATTGTGTTCCTTTGTCATTGTTTACTTTATTGTTTTATTATTTTACTTCTACTCTGCACTCCTTTCCTTTTCTTCCTTTTTATTGTAAGCAGCCTAGAGTAGTCCCACGGCAAGATAGGTGGCAAATAAATTTAGCAAATAAATAAATAATAAAGACATTATAAATAGTAGTCTTTCCTATTTTTCTCTTTCTCCCTCTTCCAGTGCTGCAGACATCCCTGTACAAATACATCACTTTTAGCAATAACCAGAAAGCTGTGGTGACAGGACTTGTAACTCATCACATATGATAAGAACTGGTTAGGAAGGCTAATTCAGAATTCACCCTTTTAAGTATCCTATGTTTCCTTGAAACAGAAACAAGACAAATGTTAAAATAAAATAGATACCTAATTGCTTGATTGCAATTAAGGATCTAGCTCAGTGATGGCAAACCTTTTAGAGACCGAGTGCCCAAATCACAAACCAAAACCCACTTATTTATCTCCGGGTGC